CCCCCTGGTGTTCAGGAACCCTCTTGACTTTTAATTGTTAACTTTCTATCCTGCCATACTACTGAATTTGGTTATTAGTTCTGGGAGTCTTGTAGAGGAGCTTTTTAAGTCTTCTACGTAGAGGAGCATGTCATCTGCAAATAATGATAATTTAACTTCTTTCTTTCCTGTCGTTATCCCTTTTATTTCTTTCTCTTGCCTGATTGTTCTAGCTAATGTTTTGATAACTGGACTGAACGGGAATGGTGAGGGTGGATACCTGTTCCTGATTTTAGATAGAAAACTTTTAGATTCTGTCCATTTAATATTAAGTTGGCTATTGGTTTGTCATAGATGGCTTTTGTCAGATTGAGTTGAAGAGTTTCTGTACCTATTTTCTTTAGGATTGTTATTGTGAATGGATTGGATTTTGTCAAGTGCTTTTTATCCACCCACTGAGATAATCATTTGGTTTTTGTCCTTCTGTTTATGTGGTATATTACATATATATAATTGCATATGTTGAACCATCCCTCCCTCCCTTGAATGAATCCTACTTTGTCATGATGTGTGATCTTTTTGATGATTTGCTGCAATCTGTTTACAAGTGTCTTATTGAGGACTTTTGCATCAGTGTTCATTAAAGAGATTGGCCTATAGTTCTTTTTTTCAGTTGGATCTTTTTCTGGCTTTGGAATCAAGGTGATGCTTCCAAGAATCACTTTGGCAATATTTCTTCCCTTTTGATTCATTAAAGAATTTGAGGTATAATGGAATTAGATCGTCTCTAAAGTTTTTATAGAATTTAGCAGTGTTTATCAGGATCTAGGCTTTTCTTAGTTGATAGTTTTTTGTTGTTTTTTACTTCTTCAGTTTCATTGCCTATTACTAGACTATTCTGGATTTTTATATCTTCTTGGTTCAGCTTTGGTAGTTTGTATGTATTTAGAAATCTATCCATTTCTTCTGAATTTTCCATTTTATTAGGTACAGGTTGTCAAAGTAGTTATCAACGATCTTCTGGATTTGGGCAAAATCCATTAGGACTTTGCCTTTTTAATTTCTAATTGCGTGAATTTGGGTCTTTTCTTTCTTTGTTTTGGCTAAGATTGGCTAAGGGTTTATTTTGTTTATTCTTTCAAGGAACCAACTCTTCAATTCAGTGCTTCTTTGTATTTTTTTTAGTTTCAACTTTACTAATTTCTGCTCTTTATAATTTCCTTCTTTGTGCTAGCTTTGAATTTGGTTTGTTCTAGTTCTTGTTTTGCTAGAGCCTTGAGGTGCATCATTAGGTCATTTATTTGTGCTCATTCTTTTTTTCAGATGTGGAAATTTACTGCCATAAACTTCCACGTTAGGACTGCTTTTGTTGTGTCTTGTAGTTTCTGGCATGCCATATTGGCATTCTTGCTTGATTATAGAAACTGTCTTCTTTCTTTAATCTATGATCTATTGATTATTCAAAAGGGCATTAGTTAAATTCTGTTTGCATAGTTTTTGTGGTGTCTTTGGCCATAGATTTCTAGTTTCATTTCACTGTAATCTTTTTTTGGGGGGGTACCAGGGATTGAACTCAGGACCTTGAATTTGTGATGCAGTTGCAGCACTGCTGAGCTAAATCCCTAGCCCCTCACTAGGATATTTTGTATTTATTTAAGCATGCTAGTATGTGGTCTGTTTTGGAGAATGTCTTGTGTGCTGCTGAGAAGAATATATATTCTCTTGTTGCTGGATGGATTATATCTATTAAGTCCATTTGTTCAAAGATTTGGTTCCACTGTGATATTTATTTGTTGATTTTTTTTTTGTCTTGTTATCTTTCCTTTTGTGACAGTAGGGTATTGAGGTCCCCTATTAAAATTGTATTGGTGTTTATCTGATTTTTCATGTTCATTAGTGTTTGTTTTATGAAGTTGGCTGTGTCAGTATTTGGTGTGTATATGTTTATAATTGTTAAATTGTTGAATTTCTCCCTTTACCAATATGTAGTAAACTTCTTTGTCTCTTCTGATCAGTCTTGGCTTGAAATGCACTTTGTCTGAAATTAGGTTAACAACTTCCACTTTTTTATAGTTTCCTTTTGCATAGAATATTGTTTTCCTCCCTTTCCTTTTTAATCTGTGAATTTGGTTTTGGGTTTGTGTCTCGTCTACTGCACATTGTTGGGTTTTGTTTATTGGTTCATTCTGGCAATCTGTGTCTTCTGATTGGGGAATTGAGACCATTCAGATGTAGGGTTATTGCTGAGAGGTATTGACTTATTCCTGTCATTGCATTATTTTCCTGTTGCTAATTTCCTTATTGTTTCCCTTTTAATTAACAGCTTATCCCACAGGTATATTCATTCCTTTTGACTTATTGGCATTGTTGGCTTCATTGTCTCTTTCAAGGATATCCTTGAGATTTTTGTAACGATCTTTGGTAGTCATGAATTTCTTGAGGTGCTCCCCAACGTGGAAATACCTTCTTTCTCTGTCAATTTTAAGGGAAAGTTTTGCAGGGCTTGAAACACTTCAAGCCCTCCTGGCACCTAAGGTTTGTATTGAAAATTATGCTGTAATATTAATGAGTTTATCTTTATAAGTAATTCATTGTTTTCTCTAACAACTTTTAAAATTTTGTCCCTGTGATGGACTGTTGGTACAGAAGTACCCTCAGTTCACAAATGCTTTTGTTAGTGAATTCTGCGCTGGGTGACGAACACGATCACAGCTTGCACAAACACACATGTGGCCATCTTCTTCAGAATTGTGAAATGAATTAAGTTCTTGAACCAAATAAGTTATTGACTTATTTTTCCCCTGGTACCAGGGATCGATCTCAGGACCTTGTGTTTATCAGGCATGCATGGCACCACTGAGCTATATCCTTGGCCCAGCCATCATTGACGTTTAGTTCTTATATTTTGATATAAGCTTTAATCGCCCGGATTTCTGATTGAAATCTTTTCATGGACTCTACTTCTTTGCTTTCTGGTCATTCATGTTTTGTATCATTTTGTTTAGTTCAGCTAGCTTTTTATTAGAGTGTTCTCAAAGTTCCTGGATCATTTTGGTTATTACTTCCATTATCTGTTTAGTTATATCTTCTGTGATCTGCTGAGTACCTCTTTCATCTGTTTCTAACCTCCTCTTATCCTTCTAAGTAATTTGGGTGTGTAATTTTGGTAATCTGGCCATGGGAGCAGCACTTGTATCATTTAAATCCACCAGGAGGTATCTTTCAACCCACTCCCTTGGCTGTGTCCTCCCTTGGCTGCCTCTCTCCTAGTCACTGTGGGAACGTAACATAGGTAGCCCTGAAGTAAACCATGCAGCTGCCCTGAGGCCGGGCAAGCAAGCAACCCTTCCCTGGAGTGGTGTCTGACCAACCATTCTCTCAAGGAATCCATTGGGGCTTGTGCTATAGTATTCACCAGCTGTTGTCTGTTTAAGGACCCCATGGGAGCAGAATGCTGCACTGTCCCATTCAGGGCTGCATTCCTCCCGAGGCCCCCTGGAGTCTCCAGCATTCCCTTTGTCTCTGTAGGTTTGGTCTCCCTTTTCCAGCAGTTCACAAGCTAGAAACTGGAGAGAAAGTGCACATTGTCCCTTCCCTTCTAGTGTTGTTTTCTGTCTCTTCAGTTTCTCTGCAGTTTTTAATTTTCCTGTCAGACCTCTCCTGGTTACCAGAATCTACTTCTCTCATTATTTCTTCCCTAAATTGTTATTTTCTAGTGTGTGGATTCCAAATCTCATAGAGTCTGAGTTGTTCTCACTCACCACTCTGCCATATTTTTTTGTCAACCTGATTTAAGTTTTAATTTTCTTTAATAAGAAACTTTACATTTAAATGAGCATAAGTTACTCAACTTCTTTGATAAGCTCTTCACCGTTCCTGTTTCTTTTATTAGAGGTAGGGGAGAAATTTGAACTATTTATAAGATTTTCTTAATTTTTTTGATCAGGTATATTTGCTGACTAGATAACCAAAATACAGAGGCAGCTAGGGCTTTTTGAGATCATAAGTATGTTTTGCAGAGCAGAGAATGAAGCTATTAATCCTTCCCCCAAACTTTCAATTTTAAGTTATCTTTAAAGAGAAACTTTCTTTCTGGGGGTATAAGTTAGTGGTAGAATGCTTGCCTACCATATGCTAGGTCCTGGGTTTGATCTCCTGTAAAGGAGAGAGAAAAAGAGAGAGGAGAGAGAGGAGATAGGAGAGGGGAAAGAAGATGGGAGATGGGAGGGAGAGGAGGAGGAGGAGGAGGAAGAGAAAGTAGAAGAAGAAGGAAAAGAGGAAAGAAACTTTCTTGTTCTTTATTTAAAAAATAATAATCTTCACTATCTTGTCCAGGAATAACATTCTGTGATTCTGTAAAATTTATTTATGTATTCAGGAAGTCACAATTCAGAGACACATGTATCTCCAAATATGTATCTTGGAGGCTATATGTGGACCTCCTAAACTGCTTCTAGATGCACTGAAACCAAGATTAATACTGATCGCCATTTTAGAACATCTTTTATTCTTAAAACTGAAACAAAAAATACACTCTCCCCTTCTAGCTTGACTGCTACCTTAGTTCATTAAGTGTTTTTTTGTTTGGTTGGTTTGTATTTTAGCTTGGCATTAATGTAAACTGTTACATACTTCAACAACTCTGGTCTTTCCAGAATAGTTCTCATCAGCATTTCTTACATAAGCCTCCAACAAGTAATCATTTACAGAAGTATTAATTTTTTAAATTTAAAGTAGTTGGAAAGCTGTTTTTAACACTCAGGTTTCATTTCTGACGTTGAAAATTATACATAGTTACTACCATTCAAACATTTAAAAATTGAAGTGAAAAAAGTCATTTTAAGAATTATGATTCTTTGATGCCAAATATTTATATAAATGATAATCAACAAAGTGTATGTGCAGTGAGTGAATTTGCACAGAAAGATTTGCCAAAACAGAAACAATATTAGCTTTTGTTTTTTCATGTGGTATGAGATAACTTTGTAGTCATCTGTTGCTTGATTTCGTCTTTCCTCTAGGTGAATATATCAATATCAAGCCTTTTACACCAGAGAAAGCAAAAGGAATTATAATGTCTTTACAGCAGCCTGCAGTCTTCTGTAACATGGTTTCTGACTGGCCCTCACGACACTGGACTGCTGCATACATTTCTGAGGTCCTTCATGGCAGACAGATCCGATTCAGAATGGGAATGAAGAGCACACACACAGGTGGGGCTGGAGGCAGCCAGGCTAACACTGCTGTTCAGTAGCTGCCCGCTTCTAGCGGTGCTCTCCTGTCTCAAGAGATCCTTTATTTTTAATCTTCTTTTTAATCTTTCATTGTACAGAAAGGAAAATTTTCCTGGAATGTATGGAAAAACAGTTTGGCCTAAGGTTTGTGTGTGTATGTATTTTAGACTAAACAGCCTATAGTTTAAACCCTCCTACAAAAGGGTTTTTTTTTTTTTTAATTTTGTTTTTTTAAGAAAACATTTTTTGTGACTTCCAGAAGTTTAGATCTAAACCATAAGATGAGATAACTGTATGTTTAACATTTTAAGAAACTTCCAAACTGTTTTCCAAAGTAGCTGCACCATTTATATTCCCACCAGCAGTCTATAAAGGCTCACATCCTTCCTACACTTACTCTGTTGTTTTTATTAAAGCCATTGTAGTGCATGTGTTCCTCACATTGCCGTTCTGATTTGCATCTCTCTAGTGACTAATAATGTTGATTATCTTTCCATGCGTAGAAATGAGCATTCAGTTATTTTGTTATGTTTTGTTTTGCTTTTTGGTACTGGGGATCGAACTCGGGTCCTTGCGCTTGCAAGGCAGGTGGTGGAACTGCTGAGCTAAATCCCCTTCCCTGACCATTCAGTTATTTTGCTCATTCTCTAATTGGAGTTTTTGTCTTTTTGATGTTGAATATTAGGACTTCTTTATATATCATGGATTTTAGACCATTATCATATATATGAATTGCAAATATTTTCTCTGATTTTGTGAATTACCTTGGTAATTTGTTCTTTTAAAAAATCATTGCTGGGCATGGTGACGTATGCCTATAATCTCAGCAATTGGGAGGCTGAGACAGAAGGATCACTGCAAGTTGGAGGCCAGCTTGTGCTACGTAGTGATTTCAACAAGGCCAGCCTAAACTACATAGCAACACCTTTTCTCAAAAAAAGAAAAGGGGAAAAACAAAGATATTATTTCACTGAATATAAATGCAAAATTTCCATAGTCACTATAGGATAACAGTATAAAAGAGCTAAAACTGGAATCAGCCTGCATGGATTTAAATGTTGGCTTAATGTGTAACCTTGGGCAAGTCAATCACTTTTCTTTATATTAGAAATATTTTCAAGATTAAATGATTTTATATGCACAGAATATTTAGAATAGTATAGTGCCTACTGCATAATAAATACTTAACAAATATTACTTAAAGATAAAATAATATTTTTTTCCAGTACCAGGGATCAAACTCAGAACCTGTGTTTGTGAGGCAGGCACGGCGCCACTGAGCTAATCCCCGACCCCTAGAAATAATTTTAAAATGATATGTGACTTTAATGTATAAAAAATTTGAAAACATGGGAAGACCCTTGGAAACTTAAAAATACCTTTCTAGCTGACCTGTAATCCCAGCACTCAGGAGGCTGAGGCAGGAGGATCACTGTGAGTCGAGACCAGCCTGAGCTCAGCTACGTAGTGAGACCCTGTCTCAAAAAAACAAACAAACAAATTTTTTTCCGATTAACCAGAGTTGATCACTAGTTACAATCCATCCATGCAGGCCTTCTTGTATTAAAAAAAAGATGTTATTAATTTTTACAGCGTGCTTCTTTTTATTTAGCATACTGTGAGCCACTACTCTTGGCATTAAATTTGACTTAAATGCTACCTTATGTCCCTTTGAATGGTAGTGCCATAAATTATTTTAGAATGCTCTTGATTGCTTACAAGTTTAAAATTTATAAATACTACTGTAGTGAACATCCTTGGAAACAAATCTTGTCCAGGTTTCTGATATTCCTAGGATGGAGTCAAGGGGTATGTGAATTTTCCTACCTCAGAAACCTCTGAGTCTTCCTGATTGTTTTGTTATCCCGGTGTCTTGTGACCTAGACTTTTCGTATCCAGCGGCCCCCTGCTTGTCTGTCTCCATGGCTGTCCTCTAGTCTGTATTACCTGGCCCTCTCACCTCCAAGCTGCAGTGGCCTTGTCTCCCCAGGGCTAGTCTCTGCATCCCTGCCTTCCTCTCCCCTGCCATTCTGCAAATGGTAACCAGAGACAATTTGTAAAAATCAGAAATTTAATCTTATATTTCTGCTTAAAACCCTTTCATAGCTTCCCATTACTTTTAGGCTAAAGACCAACTGTTTGGGAGGAAGGGTCAATCTTGCTGAGCTCAGGCTATTTTCAGTTTCTGTATTTTCGAGAATTTGCTTCTTCCCCCTCCAGAGCCTTTGTGTATATATATAGTTCTCTGTGTCTAGCCATTCTTCTTGCCCATTTTTTTTTCCCCTCTAGCTTTGCTTGGTTAATTCCTCTTAATCCTTGAGCTTTTGGTTAAATGACATTTCTTCCTGACTTTGTCCTTCCCCATTCCCCTAAGTCAGGTGTGGCTATCAGAATATGTCAGAACACTTTGCTTGTATTCTTTTCCTCTTCCCCTCCCCTCCCCTCCTCTCCTGTCTCTTCTTCTCTTCCCTCTTTCCTCCTGAAAGTACTGGAGATTAAACCCAGGAAACAATGAGCTACAGTCCCAGCCCCTGAGTTGGTTTCTTACTATATTGCTCAAATTGGCCTTGAACTAGTTATCTTCCTGCCTCTGCTGCCTGAGTAACTAGGATGGTAGGTGTGCGTCACTGTGTGTGACACAATGTATTTTCTTAGCAACACTTAGAACAGTTAAAATCACATGGTTAGTTCTGTACGCAATTACCTGATTAAAATCTCTTTTTTCAAGGTAACTGTCATGAGGGCAAGGGCCATGTCCCATGGTGGACGAGCAGCTAATGGACACTCAGGTATTCGTGGAGTAGCAGAAAGAGAGGCCTTTGATACCTAGGACAAGAGCTTTGCGGAAAAGTGGTTTCTATTTGGAATCTTCAGGACATGTGTTGATAAATATTTTGCCACTCCTTTGCCAAAACTGAGATTTATCTTTTAAAAAAACTGTGATGGGGAAAATGGTATCTCATTATTTTAATTAACATTTCTTTGATTGCTGGTAATCTTGAATGTAAGTGAATATTAGTAATTTGTATTTTTTTTCTGTTCTTTAAGTATTATAGCTTTATGGTTTCAAAAAATTTTTAATAAATGATTTCCATATTAATATTCTTGGCCCGGGGATTTAGCTCAGTGATTTCACCACCTGCCTTGCTAGTGCAAGGTCCCAAGTTCAATCCCTGGTACCCAAAAAAAAAACCAAACAAAAAAACAATATTCTTGTTATATGTATTTCCCAGCTTATATTTTACATTTTTATTTTGCTTCACATTTTTATAATCTAATTTGATTATTTAATAATTTAATATTAGCCTGTTAACATTTATCATTTATTTTATCCTTATGTATATTGGCCTTAGAAATTATGTTTCCTGAAAATAAATATTCTGTTATCTTCTCCTAATAGCTTATTGACTTCTTTTTCTACATTTTACTTTTTATCTATTTTATAATAATATATATTGATATATGACATTCACTGGATTTTTTAAAGTACTTAAATTGGGAACTTTAATTCTAGCATCATTTACTGAATAATAATTTTTTCACCTTTCTAGCTCTGAAAACTATTATTACATGACTATATTCTTGGGTATTTCAGCATTAGTTTCTCAGCTATATATTAAGCTGTCAGTTTTGGGGCCAGTAAAACAATTTAAAAATAAATCTTAGCACTGATATATATTTTACTGTTTGAAAGTACAGTTCATTCTGCCTAATTACACTTTATTTTCATTTTATTTATATTTTAATTGGTATAAAGTTGTATATATCTATGTAGCATGGGATGTTTCAATACAAGTTTGTATTATGTAATGCGCAGATCAGGATAAGCATATCTCTCTCTTTAGACATTGGTTATTTCTTTGTGTTGAAAATATTTAAAATCCTTTCTACCGGTTTTAAAATAAACATCATATTTTCATTACCCTACTGTGTAATAGCACACCAGAACTGATTTGTCCTAACTGTAACTTAGTACCCATTGTCTAGCCTTTTTTCTGTCTCTTCCTCCCTGCTACCATTTTCATCCTCTACTAACAAATATTCTGCTCTCAACTTCAGTAAATCTTTTTTTCTTAGATATTGTTGAATTTTATTCATGTAAATGAACTTTAGAGTTATGTGGAGTACTCACTTTAAAGAAACCCTGTTAGGACTTTAAGTGAAAGTTCATTAAGGTCTAAAAATTAATTTGGAAAATTACATTATGTAATACTGTATATTCTTACAGAGGAATGTGTAACCTTTGCATACTAAGTCTGTTTCTCAGCAAAAAGATTTGTAGTTTCATATAGATAGACACATTTCTTAAAATACTATAAATTCATTATAGTGGGTATGGCAGGAATATTGCTGCCTGTTACATTTTTTAACTGATTCTGATTGTTACATAGATAAAAGCAGTTTCTTTCTGTGTGTTTATTTTTTATGCAGCCACTTACTGATTTTGACAGTTTTGTTGTTCTTGTGAGTCTTCTTGATAGATAGGCATATAGTTTTATAAATAAGGATATCTTTGTAGCTTCTCTGTTGAATGTATTTATTTCTGTCTTGGGTTTTGTCTAGAATATTTCTAGGTTACTGGAAATAGTGTTAGTAAGTGACTTTTTAAAGAATTAACAGCATTTTTTAATGTAATGCCTTTTTATTTTTTAGGAAGAAGATAGTGAATATCATATAGGCCTTTTTTATAATCCTTTAATATCACTGATATCATAAAAAATTCTCCCTAATAGCATAAGAGTAAAGATTAATATTGACAGACAAAAATGCATGTGGCAAGGAGACATTTCTAAATCTCTCAGTAAACTCCACTGTGATTCAAGCCACATTACACTGTTTTGTAAGTTTTCACTTCCTGGAGTTTAGTCCAACTGACTGAATACTAATGCCACTAACTGAGCCACTTGCTGTTGGTGAGGAAGAAACAGGAACCTGTTCCTGTTTAAAAATACAACAGGTGTGTGTTTGCAGTATATAATGATTACATTCAGTGTGGGGAGTTGGTACGTGTACATAGCCCATCTTTTTTTTTTTTTTTTTTTTTTTGAGACAGGGTCTCACTATGTAGTTGAGGTTGACCTGGAACTCACTTAGCCCATTTTTTTTTTTTTTTTTTTTTTCTTTTTGAGACAGGGTCTCACTATGTAGTTGAGTTTGACCTGGAACTCACTAAGTAGCCCAGGCTGGTCTCGAACTCGCAGCGATCCTCCTGCCTCAGTTTCCCGAGTGCTGGGATTACAGGTGTGCACCACCACGCCCAGCTACATAGCCCATTTTAATCCTGTTTCTTAATCCCTTTTCCCTCTCCCCTCCATTCCTTGTTCCTGTTTTGCAAAAGATCTATCTCAGTTTCCTATTATCTGGCTTTTATTTGGCTCTTTAATTTACTTATACTCTGAGTTTCTCATATGAAAGATTCCAGGTTTGTGTCATTGATTCACTTGACACTTGTCTCAGGGTGCATCCATTTTTCTACAGATGACGGTGCCCACCCTTCTCTATGGCAGAGTAGTACTCTTACCGTGTGTAAACACCACATTTTCTTTTTGTTCATCTGTTCGTGGACACATAGTCTGCTTCCAAGATTTTGCTACTATGAAGTGTGCGGCTATAAACATGAGTGTGCATGTGTCACTGTGGTGTGATGTCTTTAACTCTCCTTGGATGATACCTATAAGAGGCATTGCTGAGTCAGATGGGATTTCTATTTGTGGCCTTTTGAGGAATCTCCATAATAATTTCAGTAGTGGTTGTACTAGTGTGCATTCTGAAGCTAGTTTGGATCCCGTTTATTTTTCAAGATATGTGATCAGCGGTAGGGTTGTACCTCAGCTGGCAGTAATTTGGCAGTGGTTGTGGAAATGCTCCCTTAAACATCTGTAAGTCGGGAGTAGTGATCAGAAACCCTGTTCAGAGCTCACATCCTATGTGTTGTTTCTTGTTTATGAGATGATGATAGTCTGACAACATGGAGAAATAATTATTTTCCTGCTGGGCAAAAAAATATTTTAAAATCTTTTATTATGATCATTGGAAGAGACCTTGGACAGCTGAGCTGCTTCTTACCTAGCATCTGACAGTAAGTGCCTGGTAGCTGCCTGGGCTCCTTAATGTCTCATTAAATGAAGGAACAGTGATGCTGAAATTAGAAAGGAATATTTCCATTGCGTAGACTAAACTTAGGAAAACAACTGTACCACCCAGAGAGAAGGTGCTGTTGTAGCACAGCACAGTACCTCTGTGCTGCTCCCACCAGGGCTGAGTGAAAAGACCTTAGTTTGAGGTCATCGTGTAAATGAAAAAGACTGTCATTTCTATTCACTTTAACCAGTAGTAAGAATTGTCACGTGTAATTTTTACACTTTTACTTTCATTTTTAATGTGCAGAATTTGCTATGACAAAATGAAGTCCTCTAATAAGGGCAGGTTCTGGGAGCTACAATGCAGACTTTTTTGGGATAACTGCCCCTAACTGAAAAGTCCTGTTCCTTCCTCACCAAGAGCAAGTGGCTCAGTTAGTGGCATTAGTTTCAGTCAGTTGGACTAAATTCTAGGAAGTGAAAATTTAACAAAACAGTGTAATGTGGCTTGAATCACGGTGGAGTTTACTGAGAGATTTAGAAATGTCTCCTTGCCACATGCATTTTTGTCTGTCAATATCGGTCTTTACTCTTATGCTATTTCAGTGAATTTTTTATATCAGTGATATTAAGGGATTATACATATACTGAGGCTACCAAGCAGTGTTCTAAGTGTGTCACAAAAATAATCAGAACTTAGAGTTCTTGAGCATGTGGATGTTAATCTTTCAGATAAACTTTAGTAGAACTCTCCTTCTTAAAAGCAAGTGACACAGTGGACTTAGAGTGATTCTTTGGTATACATCCTGCTTTTTAACTCTATGCAGTTCTATAGTTTTAAGAAAAAGGAGGGAAGGGAAATTATAACTCTAAGCAGTTCAGGAAAGAAAAGGAGGAAAAAGATAAAAATGGTGAAAGGAGAATTTGACTACTTTCCAGTTCAGTTAAGTTTTAAAAGGTTCCAAATACCGTAGGAATGATGGAGCACCAACCATGATGCTTGGCGTGTACGTAGCACCCACTGTGCTGACTGACCTACATCCCTCTTGGAAAGATTTCATGCTCTGCAAAGATTTTTTTCTTTTTCTTTTTTCTTTCTTTCTTTCTTTCTTTTTTTTTTTTTTTCCTGGAGATTCAGCCCAAGGAGCATTGAGCTGTATCTGTAACCCTTGAAAAAAAAAAAATTTCTTTATTTTGAGACAGGGTCTTGTTAAATTGGGCAACCTAACCTCAAACTTGCAATCCCCCTGCCTCAGGCTGCTGAGTTGCTAGGATTACACGTGTGCATCAACACACCTTGAGTGTGATTTCTTAAATATTAACTTCCCTGTGTTCATTTAAAATATTTCACTATTTGCAAAGCAAAAAAATAATTTCAGCGCTTTTGGAAAAATAGTTCTTGCATTAATCCAGGACTCCAGTCTTGACTCATTGGTATCGTACCTGTACCAGCAAATCTACCTATGCACAATTAGTAGATCTTCCTCTCAGATGCGCTCCCCTCCCACCATGACCACTCCCATGTTTTTTTGAGACAGAATCACACTGTGTAGTTTAGGCTGACCTTGAACTCATGGCAGTCCCCTTGCCTCAACCACCCAAGTGCTAGGATTACAGGTGTGTGCCACCATGCCCAGTGGTCTTTCCTCTTCTTAAGTGTTGTTAATACAAAATTTTGTATTTCATTATATTTCTCAAGTTCTGTCACTCTGCTTAAAGCTTTATCTTCCATCTAAAATATTCAAAACTCAAGTGTCCCTATTTCTTTTATATTCTTAGAAGCCTGAGCACCATATCCATTACAACTGATATTCTCAGTAAATGATTCTGAAATAAATGAATTAATGAATAAATGAAAAGACTTTAAATTGTCGTGGTCCGCTTAATATTCAGAGGAGCTGTGTATGCTAATTGCGCAGTACAAAGTCAGAAAAATTTTCAAAAGTCTACGTTGCTTTTTAAGAAACTTTAAAATCAAATACACTCTTTGACAGCAGGATCCTGTGAGTAATTTTTGAGTACCCAGTGTGCTTTTGCTGGTACAGGTATCTCTAGTGATACTCATCATGTTAGAAACTAAAACAGAGATATTTAAAACATAAGAACAAGCACCCAAGTTCAGTCCCCGGTACAAAAAAAAACAACAACTTCAGGTGACCCACCAGCTGATGTCATGTAGTCTCTGGACAACATGGCAGACTCATGCCGAATAAGAGTAAAAAAGGCAACTAATGTCTTGGTGTTACTGTAAAAGTGGTTTTGACCTCACAGCCCCCTGAAAGGTTCTTGAAGAATTGGTAATCTCCAGGGTGCCATTGGTTCACTAAATCGGGATGTAATAAGGGCAATCCTTAGTCTTAAAGTTCAAACCATGTTCTTAACCTTTATGTTTAATTATTAGTACTGTGGTATTATGAATGGTTCTAATTATATAGTAGGCACAAAATTCATGAAATATTTAATTAATGTTAAATTATAGATCTCTTTTGGTTGAAATTAACTTATTTTTTAAAAAACCAGCTATTTCTGTGTTTCTTATACATTTAAAGCTGCGTTCTCTTGCATTGCAGTTCCTCAGTTTGAAACCACATGCAGTTACGTGGAAACTACCCTGGAAGAGTTTCTGACCTGGAACTGCGACCAGTCTAATGCTTCTGGGCCATTTGGAGATTATGACCATTCACGATTCTGGGCTTACGCTGATTATAAATATTTTGTCAACCTATTTGAAGACAGTTCAGATATTTTCCAGGTAAATAATACTGTACATTCCTTTTACTCTTGGTGAGAATGTGAGAAAAGATCCTACATTAGAACCTCCCCACCTCCTTCTTCTGTGGCTGCCTTTTTCTTCCATAAATATTCAGTGAGTCTTGAGCATTTTTCCCACTGGAGCCGAAAGATCTGCTCAAGGGATGTGAGATATTTGGCTCACACAGGTGAGCGACCTTCTCCGTTTGCTTTTCAACCAGACTTCTTCCGCCACACCCGTCCTTTCCTTTAAACATGCCCCAGTGGTTTGGAGAATACCAGAAGCATGATTGTGTAAAAAATTTCCATTTTCCACCGACTACACAGCATGTCGTTAGGTATAATGCAGATTCTATGTAGGAGCACTTCTCAGGTGAGTACCAGGCCATCTCTGCCATAGCTGTCCCCTTGGAGGTTTGTTCAGCTGTTTGAGCCCATTGTTTGTGGCGTGATGCAGAGAACCCTGGGCTCCTGGTATTCAGGGTGGAAGCCCTGCAGGGGTGTGGGATTGCCTTGGAGAAGTAAGACTGAACATTCATTGCCATGTGATTTAATTGACCACAGAAATCGCAGACTACCGTAACCTTTTTCCTTTTAAGTGTATTTGGCTTTAAACTGTGAGTTTATTTTAGGGGGTGATTCTGAAAGCTCTCTTCTCTGGTTTCTCTCTTGTGCTAGACTGAGGCAGGAATGAATGTGGTCCCTAGGAGCTTGTTTGGATGACTCTGCCTTGCCCCTAAGCAGGACGCAGCTCCACAGCTCCTTACTCTGCCCCTAGGCCACTGGGGAGAGAGGTATTTCATCCTCAGACAGGCTGTCCACCCCTGCTGTGCTCCTACTGCCTGCCCCCAGCCCTTCTCTGGACTTTGCTCTCATATGAAATGATATTTTTTGTTTTATTTTGGCTCTGGAGCAGTTTCTGTTCAGCTTGTATTTTTTTCTCTTTGAGTCGTGTGTGTGTGTGTGTGTGTGTGTGTGTGTGTGTGTGTGTGTGTGTGTGTTGTTTTTGCTGTACCAGGAATCAAACTCAGTACCTTCTGCTTGTGAGATAGGCACAGTGCCACTGAGCTAAATCCGCAGCTGTGTATAATTATTAAATACAGCAACCAATATTTTGTAGCTTTCCTTTATTACCTTTTAAAATATTTAAATAATTTTGTATTTTAATTTGGAAAAGAGGAAAAGTATTCCATTTTATCCCTTGTTAGTTGTGGGTGTATCTTAATTCTCATAGCCATAAAATATATGCATTGACTTTGATAACATTCAGTAAATGCTTCTCAATCCAAAGTCTATACCAAATTTATTTACTCACTTTTATTTTTTTTTATTTATTTTGGTTTTTTTGAGACAGGGTCTCACTATGTAGTTGAGACTGACCTGTAACTCACTATGTAATCCAGGCTGGTCTCAAACTCACAGCAATCCTGCTTGAGTCTCCCAAGTGCTGGGATTACAGGTGTGCACCACCACACCCAGCCTCACTTTTAAATAATTTTGAGGTAGATGTTTATTCTTATAACCCTAGGTCACATTATGGATCTTTAACCCTGCAACTCATAAATTTTGTAATTAACTTTTGAGTATTTTGTTATATTTTGTTGTATTTCTCATACCCCCATCCACTCTGGATTGGACTAGTACCTTTTTTAATTCTACATTTCAAATAAAATACCGTGTAACGGTAATTCTTATCAAGTATTTACTGGCACATTTGTTTTTTGGTGCCAGGATTGAACTCAGGACCTTGTGCTTTCTAGGTAGGAGCAAGGGCCACTAAGCTAAATCCCTAGCAGCCCCCCTTAGCACTTTTCTAGTGTCTTACATTTATAATCCTCACAGTAATGCTATAATTTAATAATTATCCCCATTTTAAGAAAAAAGAGGCACAGAAAGATTATGCAGCCTAGAAGGGGCTGACCCAGGCTGTGTGCTTCCAGAGCTCTGTCCCCTGCTCTCCCTTCAGCAGGTCTGGCCGCCTGTGTCCCTTGGGAGCTTTTCCGACAGGACAAAACACTCTGGCTGTGAACGTCTGGCTCACTCTGCCTCAGGTGAATCTCTCTGACCCCATCCACTGTTCCATCCCATTCCGGCCATGCTGGCACTAGGGAGACATGTGACCCAGCCTTGAGGTATGGGCATAAAAGGCAATCTTTCACTAATGGGCTGTAATTGAAACTGTAATTAAGCCTTTCAAAATCTGATATTTTCAGTAAATGAATTTTCAGTCTATTCACATTATGGCCATTAATTAGGCAATGAACAGCCAGTATATTCAGATTATATCATCTTTTATGTCAAAGTTTTCTGGTCACCAGGTCTTCTCACATTATAGGTACCTAAGTTGTTGTTTTCTTTTCCCTTCTGTAATTCATTCACCAAATATTACTGTCAAACTGTTCTACATTGTCATGAAATGATAGGTAAACATTAAAACTGATATATTAAAAATATAATTAATTTAAACTATAAATTCATAATATGTTAATATAAATAACATTCTAGAGAAAATAACCATATAAAAAGTGTACAAAATGTCATTAGCAGAATAGATTGCAAGTCTCTCCTATCTGTCTGGCCACAGAAGACAGCTGGATTCTCCTGGATTCTCCTGTCTGCATTTCCAGTCAAGCTGTTGCATTCTGCTGTTGTAGGTCTGTTTAAAGGGTATGAATAAAACGTTACTGCAGAAACATGTTTTTATGAAAAAAAAAGTATTTTAACATATTCTTTTCAGAAATTTTGAGGGGGTTTTCCATACCACATCAAACTTACTGAGGGATAGTTTCTTAAAGGTTCATTAGCTGCAGTACAGAATCTGAATCCACAATGAACAAACCCTTTGTACTCTTATAGCAAAATCCATTAGTCCTTGCATAGAATGGTCTTACATAATGCCGTTCGGTGGACTTTTGGAAAATACTAGCTTACTGAGTTCTGTAGATCGTGCAAATAATGACACATTTCAGTGTATATGATACATTTTGTTATTTTAAAAGTCACATTGTCTTAGTATTCTGAAGTTTTCAACTCTGTGTGTCTCAGGATACAGTTTCCCAACCCATTTTTATTCATTTCAAAATACTTGGCTAATTTCTGTTATGACTTGGATTATTTAGAAATACCATTTTTGATTTTGAAATATTCGGGGATTTTTTTAATCTGTCTTTCTGTTAACTGATTTCTTATTTAATTCTATTGTGATCAGAAACATACTTTTTATGATCTCAGTCCTTTTAAATTTATTGAAATTTGTTTTATGGACCAGAATATAGTTATCTTGATGGGTATCCCACGTATACTTTACAATAATGTGTTTTCTGTGGGGGGAGATTCCATTAATCCAAGTTGATTGTTCAAGTCTCCTATATCTTTACTGGTTTTCTGTATATTTATTCTACTCGTCAAATGGAGAGAGGGACTAAGCCCTCCCTCAGTGATATTTTGTGTTTATCTTTTCCCTATTTTAGGTTGGTAACTTTTGTCTTATGTATTGAGAAACTATTACTAGACTGTCACATATTGAGAGTCACAATGTCCTCTTCAAGAAGTGACCTTTGGTCATGATGAAATGACCCTTTTTACCTTGGGTTTGTCCTTACTCTGTTGTTTACTTTGTTCAGTTTGCCTTTGACTAGTATTTATATTTTTAAAAAATACTACATGCTGGGTGAGGTGGCACACATCTGTAATCCCAGCACTCAGGAGGCTGAGGCAGGAGGATCGCTGTGAGTTTGAGACCAGCCTGGGCTACATAGTGAATTCCAGGTCAGTCTCACCTACAAGGTGAGATCCTCTCTCAAAAAAAACAAAAAAAAACAAAAAGAAAACCTACACAACTCCACATCTGTATAATTCTAGAACTTGCAAACTGTATTGACAGGATAAAGTCAGTGGTGCTCTGAGAATTACGTGTGTAGGGAGAAGCAGATTGTGAGGGAAACTGTGGGACATTTTAAAATGTTTGTCATCTTGATTGTGGCACTGGCTTTTCAGATATATGTGTATTTTAAAATTCGTGAAATTAAACACCTTAAACATATACTATTATTGTATAGTAAAGCTTTCTGTTTATTTTTTACCTTTGTTTTATGGTAGTTAAAAGATTGAACCGAGATTCCTAACACGTAGCTATATCTCCAGCCCTTTGTTTTCTTGTTCGTTTGTTGGGGTTTTTTGTTGTTGTTGTTGTTGTTGTTGTTGTTTTTTGGTACCAGGGATCGAACTCGGGTCCTTGGCACTTGCGAGGCAGTCCACTGAACTGCTGAGCTAAATCCCCAGCCCGCTTCGTTTGTTTTTGAGACAGGGTCTCACTAAGTCTCTGAGTTGCCCTGGCTGGGCTTACGTACAGTCATCCTGCTTTACCCTCCCAGAGTGCCGAAATTGCAAGTTTGCACCACCATATCCAGATAAGCTTTGTTTTTGTAATCCATTGCTACTAGAATACTTTGGTCCCACTGCCTTGACCCTAGCAGTTTCATCGCCCAATGCTTCTGTGCCATCACTGAGAGCATCAACACAGTGAGTAGGTGGATGACATCTTAGCAGTACTTTGAAAATCCTCTTGACCTCACAGATCTTCAGAAAGGATCTCAGGGAATCCTCTGGTGTCCAACACCGTTTCTGAAATCACACTATTACCCCAGTTCTTATTCCTCCTCTGATTTCTAAATATTCTGTAAGTTGCACCCTGGTTTAAATGTTAAAATGCAATAGTCATGTTCACAAATGCTTTATGACTTAAAAGTATGTAAGGATAGCGCTTAAGGCCTTCCCCAGTGTGCAGTCTGGCCTGATAGTCTCCTCTCGGACTGCTGCACATGCTGTATCCCCTCTTACCTCATGCCCTTTGCTCACGCCCTTCTCAGTTTCTGCCCATTAAAGTTCTCCTGTTCAAGGTGTGGCTCAGACTCAGCCCTGACTCACAAAACCTTCCCAGCCCCTTTACCCACATCCTTCTACCCCTGGGTTCCTTGTTGTGTTACTTAAATGATGCAGAAC